AGAGTTGGCGACTGGCCTCGGCAATGTAGAGGTCAGTGCGCCATACTACAACTGCGCCTCCCTTGTCCGCGGATTTTATGGTGAGGCTGGGATTGGAGCGGAGGGCTGCACGTTCTGCGGGGGAGAGGTTGGAGTGGGTGAGAGGGGTGGAGAGGTTGAGGCAATTGATGTCTTGACGGCAGTTGGAGATGAAGAGGTCGTGGGAGGGTAGGAGGCCTTGGGGTGGTGTCCAGGAGGAGGGGGTGTGTTGGAAGTGGGAGAAGGGGTCAGTAGAGGGAGGGTTAGGTTCACGGTTGAAGAAGTAAGCGTGGAGGCGGAGGCGGTGGAAAAACTGCTCTATGTCCAAGCGTGAGCGGTATTCGTTCATCTGTGGGTGGAGGGGGACAAAGGTGAGCCCTTTACTGAGGACTGACAGTTCGTCCTCAGTAAGGGGGAGGTCTGGGGGAATGGTGAAGACTCGGCAGGGCTGGGTGCTATTGTCCCCTCTGGAGCTGCTGGCTGTGGAGGCTGTGGGTGGAGCGACGTCGGCGTCAGCTGTGGGTGGAGTTGCGTCGGCGTCAGCGGTGGGCGGAGTTGCATCCGCGTCGGTGATGGGCGGAGCGGCGTCGGCGGCAGCAGTAGTGGTGACGGTAGTCGCGACTTCAGTGTCGGTGGTGTTGGTCTCGGTCTCGGAAACGGAGGCGGTGGCAACGGCAGCGATGGTGTTCGCTGTCCCGGAAGTGGGGAACCCGCCGGTGGCGGATGTGACGTCATCTGTGGGTTCTCCGATAGTGGCCTCATGGCCAATGACGGCGGGCCCATTGTGGGGAAGGTCCTGGGTACGGCTGGGGATTTGGGGGGTGGAGGAAGCCCGTTTTGGGTGGTAGGCACCAGTAAGTTTACTGTACTTACGATTTTTAGTGTCCAATAAAGCTGAGTAGAATTGTGAGTTCAGGTTGTGGATCCGACGAAGAATAAAAAACAGGAGAGGTCCTTTGCAGGTCTGGGAGAGGGAGGCTGCATTGCTGCAAGTGCGTGTTTCAGGACCAGCAACTCATATTCGGCTTGGGAACCCTGCAGCCCAATGGTAGCAATGTGGATTTCACAAGCTTCAAAATCTCCCCTCCCCCTACCGCATCCCAAAACCAGTCCAGCTCGTCCCCACCTCCCTAACCTGTTCTTCCTCCCACCTATCCCCTCCTCCCACCTCAAGCCGCACCCCCATCTCCTACCGACTAACCTCATCCCGCCCCCTTGACCTGTCCGTCCTCCCTGGACTGACCTATCCCCTCCCTAACTCCCCACCTACACTCACCTTTACTGGCCCCATCCCCGCCTCTTCGACCTGTTTGTTTCCTCTCCACCTATCCTCTCCTCTATCCATCTTCTATCCGCTTCCCACTCTCTCCCTATTTATTTCAGAACCCCCTTCCCCTCCCCCTTTTCTGATGAAGGGTCTAGGCCCGAAACGTCAGCCTTTCTGCTCCTATGATGCTGCTTGGCATGCTGTGTTCATCCAGCCCTCCACCTTGTTGTCTCGGATTCTCCAGCATCTGCAGTTCCTACTATCTCTGATTCAACAGGATATAGATAGATTGACGACTTGGGCACAGAAATGGCAGATGGAGTTCAATCCAGACAAATGCAAGGTGATGCATTCTGGAGAATCAAATTTAGGTTTGAATTATACTGTTAACGGCAGAACCCTTAGGAACATTAACATACAGATGGATCTGGGCATGCAGATCCACAGTTCCCTAAAAGTGGCAACACAGGTGGCCAAAGTGATTAAGAAGGCATATGGTATGCTTGCCTTCATCGCCTGGGGCGCAGAGTCCAAGACCTGTCCCCATCTTCTCTCCCACCTATCCGCCCCACCCTTCCCACTGACTAATCACCACCACCCTTCACCTGCATCCACCTATCATCATTCTACCTACCTTCCCCTAGCCCCACCCCTCCTCCCTCTATTTATTTCCCAGCTCCCTTCCCCCTCCCTAGTTCTGAAGAAGGGTCCCGACCGGAAACGTCAACTTTCCTGCTCCTCTGATGCTGCCTGACCTGCTGTGCTCCTCCAGCTCCACACCATATCGACTCTGCCTCCAGCATTTGCAGCTCTTGCTATCTGCGAGCAGCAATATAAAACTCTTGCTGGGCCGCAGTTGGAGTATTGTGTGCAGTTTTGGTTGTCACATTACCAGGAGGACGTGAAAGCTTTGGAAAGAGTGCAGAGAAGGTTCACCAGGATTTTGCTCAATCTTGAAGGCATTGGCCATGAGGAAAAACTAGGATTATTTTCACTGGAGAGACGGCAGCCGAGAGGAGACCTGATAGAGGTCTACAAAATTGAGGCATTGATAGGATGGATTGATAGGGGGCAATGGTTCAAGGTGAGAAGGCAGAAGTGTTTTCTGCAGAGAGTGGTAGCAGCCTGGAATGCACTGCCAGAGAAGGTGGTGGAAGCAGGCACATTGGCAACATTTAACAGACATCTGGATAATTAAATGAATAGGGAGGGAATTGAGGGATACGGATTGAATAAGGGCAGAAGATTTGATTGTTTAATTTAGTTAGGGCACAATGACCAGCATAGGCTGGAGGGCCAAAAGGCCTGTTCCTGTGCCATACTTCTCTTTTGCTCTTTCATGGGACAAAGGAAATATAGTGGCAGACATTTTTTAAGATAATATTTAACAACTCTCAGCCAATCGTAACATCCCAATCATAAAGAAAGACTCAGAGGATGCATCATCTTTACCTAAATAAGCAAATTAACAGTTGTCACAAAATGAAAGGGTCACTGTACAATTCTCTGCAGGGTTGTGATAGGTGACAAGTTTGGATAGATTTTAAGGACCAGCAAAAAAAATGACTAAAATAACAAGGTAAAAAATGAAAGAAAGCTAGCTAATAATAGTAAAGACACTTGAATAGCAAAAGATGAACAAGAGGAGGAATGTGAAACAATCAACACCATCATGGAAATGCAGGAAAACTATAAAACCTAAAGGCTAACAGGTCCCTGGGACCAGATGGCCTGCATTCTAGGATATTAAAAGAAGTAGCTGCAAAGCATTGATTATAATTTTCCAAAATGAAAAACTCTGGAAGGGTCTCAGCATATTGAAAAATAGCTAATGTAACACCATTCAAAAAAGGAGGGTGACAGAAAACTGGAAACTTTAGGTCACTAAGCCTAATACCTGGCACAAAGTAATTGCTCAAATCTATTATTAAGGGGATTATAGCAGGATACTTAGAAAATTATATGAAGGCAGAATCAACATGGTTTTGTGGAAGGGCAACCATGTTTAACTATATTATTAAATATTTTAAGGAAGAAACAAGCGAATTGGATAAAGAGGAACCTGTGGATGCGGTGTACTTGGATGTCCAAAAGACACACCATAAAGTGACACATCAAAGGGTACTACATAAACTAGGTAAGAGTTAAAATATTAACATGGATAAGGAATTACTTACCTCGTTTACAGGAAGCAGAACAGAGGAATTTATGGGACTATTTAGTTTGGCAGCTGCAACTAATGGAATGCCACAAGACAAGGCGCTGGGTCCTCACCTATCAACAATTTCTTTCAATGGCTGGCAACCAAACATATGACTCTGAAATTTGCCAAAGATAGGGAAGAAATCAAGTTGTCAAAAAGAGATAGAGAGTTTGCACAAGGATATAAATAAGTTAAAGCAGGAGGCAAAGATTCAGCAGATGCAGTATAATGTGGGAAATTGCGAACTCATCCTGGAAGAATAGAAAAGAAATATACTATTTAAATAGAGAGAGATTTCAAAACTGTGGCACAGAGTTATCTGGATATGCTCATTTAGAAATCACAGAAAGTCAATTTACAGGTGCAGAATGTGAATAGGAAGTCAAATGTAATGTTATTATTTATTTTTAAGGGAAATGGAATATAAAGGAAGGGTAATTTTACTGTAGCTATACAGAGCCTGCTGGAATATCTGAAGTATGTGGGCAATTTTGGTCTTCTCATTTAAAAAGGATAGAATTGTGTCTCAAGCATTTCAGAGAAGATTTATTTGATTCATTCCTGTGATGAAGAGCTGATCTCATGAAGAAAGATTGAGCACGTGGGCCTTTATTCATTGGGCTTTAGAAAAATTAGTGATGTTCCTACTGAAAAACGACCATGCAGAAACTTGGCAGGGTGAATACGGAAGGGATGTTTCCCCTTGTCTGACAGACTAGGACTGCAGGACACTTTAAAAAGCTGTTTTTGAAGAGGAGACAAGGAGAAGTTTGTTCTCTCATGTAGCAAGGGGGAAAAGAGATAGGAAAGTGGAGTTGAAACCATGATCAGATCAACCATGGTCTCACTGAATGGCAGAACAGACTCATCAGGTGAGTGAATATTCCTACATTTAGCTAAGCAGTCAGTGTCACCCAATAAAAGCATCTCATTCACGTATCCATCCTACAATCTAGCTTTAAAGGAGATCTAATGAAATCTGGGAGCAAGGTACTAATTTCCCTGAAATAGATAAGAGCATACAAAACAGGGTACATATACAAAAAAACTTACAGCCTTGACATACACATCATGAACTAATACATATTTCATAAAAATGTCAACCACACAAAATGAATGAATAAATTAGCCCCAAAGAAAACAAAGTTATCTGTTTTGAAAGCCACTGACGTCTAATATTCTAAGACTTATTCTGCTGGACGATAAGACTTCGTGGATCCTTTAACTGGGACATGTCATACATGTAGTTTGACAGGCCCATATTATTCAGTGTAACATAACATTTTTGAATGTATCACGTTCAATTTGTGTATGAGACCTCAAAACATTTGTTTAACTTTTGCAGGAGAACAACATGTATGTTGCAACCGAATGTTGTCAGTTTCAATAAGTAGCCATTGTGGTTTGAAAAGATCTTCAGGAAAGTTACACATGTAAAACCTACTTTATAAGTGAGTGATGTCGAATTCACACGTTGACCATAACCCTCACTTCCACTGTCCATAGACTCACCTTTTCTTTCTTTGATTCATTACTTCGTCCCTGATCCAACGCAGGTTTAACTTTATTTCCCTCAGTTTGTTCATCCCGCACATGCTGTTTGGAAGCTTTCTTTTTGTTCCGGATATACGTTCCAGATTTCTTCATTGCTCAGCTTATGTCCAAATTCACACACATGTAGCAAGAGTAATTTCAACCAAACTTAAAAAGAATCTGTCAGACCTCGTCCCCAAAGAAGAGTGGCTGGATCTATTCTCCTAACCGCAGCCGACGGAGAAACAACATCCTTGGAAGGATGAACCACATTGACTGGTTTCTTGTCTTCGTATCTAATTGAGAGATAAAAGGGGGGAATATCTTTGGGCGATGAATCGAGAAGTGGTGGACGGAGGAGGATGCGACTCCGCCTTCAGCCAAGCATTTTCACCGAGTCTAAGGGCCGGGAGCTGCTCTCATGGGGACAAAGCGGGGGCTGAGAGAGCAGCGGCCACTCACTCACAAGCTGCTGCTGCCGCTGTTAAAACTCGGCCTGGATGTAGCTCTGGCTCTGGGTTCACACACACTCTCACCGCCCGCTCCCACAGACCAGGAGCCGCCTCCCGCCGCTGCCAACACCAACCCCCTCCGCTCTCAGCATGGCCACCCTGAGTGCCCACACCACGGAAAGTTACCGTGTCCCACATCAGCCGCGGCTCCCGCAGGGGGGAGAACACATTCTTTCTTTTGTGGGTTGGGGTGGGTGGGATAAATAAAATTATTGTTATGGTTTATTCGCCTTTAACAGAACTCACTTCCGGTTGGCTGCGTACTTGACCTTTCAGCCGGACGTAGATGCTGTGCTCCCCTCCCCATAGGGAGTGTGCGGGTGGCGGTTAGTTAGAACGTAAACGTTTTGTTTGATACGATTTAACGGTCGCCTTGGTTCAGATTCATTTATCAACAAATGGATCGTCCAGCGCTGGAGGACTATGCCCTCTGCCATAACCGGACTTTATTTCCCCTGTTTGTTTCACCGGTACTGCTCATGGCTTCTTGCTGTTTCCAAAGTCAAGTTGACCCGAATCCCAGGAGAGAGACTGTTAACGAGGGGCTTTTTTTCCCCCCTAAACAACACGTCTACTTTCCAAATAAGAAAATAGTGGCAAGACAACCTTCATTCACATCATAGGAGTTTCCCTGGGACTTTGGAGAGTTCTGTGGATGTTTGTCACAAGGAAATGCCCCCATGACACTTGGAAAGGCACCAGAAGTTGTAATGAACACATAAAAAGTTCTGAGGAAGGGTCACCGGACCCGAAACGTTAACTCTGTTTTCTGCTTCACAGATGCTGCCAGACCTGCTGAGCTTTTCCAGCAACTTCGTTTTTGTTCCTGATTTACAGCATCCGCAATTCTTTCGGTTTTTACATAAAAAGAAGTACTCAGCAAGTCAGATGCCTTACCGCCGGAATATTTCCACTACTTGTATTTTTGTTTAAGATTACCAGAATGTTTTGTTTTTAATTAACTTGATTCAGACACTATGATATACCCCTGGAGCAAGTGGGACTTAAACCTGTGTCTTAAGATTCAAAGATAGGTACAATACCACTGTGTCACAAAAGCCCTCAAGTGGTATTTAGTTATTGCAACCCATATTAATCCTAACAATAATAGTTCATAAATGCTGAGTCAATTCTTTGTAAGTGTCACAGAAATGAGTGCATGGAATTTGGGTAATTACAAATTTGCCATAATCTATAATAATGATTATGATGTACAGGTGTTTACAGGATGTCAGTTTTATAAATCACAACTATTCTCAAGTCAATGAGAAAAAAAAGCTCAAAAAGCAATAATTAGATTAGATCCTGTACAATATGTACATGACATACAGGAAAATACCCTCTGGTTCATCCAGATTTTCTGTCAATATCTGATACATGCACTGTCTCCTGATGAAACAATGTGGTGATCTGGAAAAAAACATTAAACAGTAAGCATGCAAACTAATAATCATATTTTTACCGCATATTTTCAGCAGAAAGTGAGACCCGAGTTTGCATCTCAGATAATTAAATAATCTCTTCAGAATAATGAGTACAGAAGTGTTCATCTAGTTATTATCATTGTACTAATGTAAGGATGAAAACTTCACACTGAAATCATGGCAATCAAATCAATTACAATTATCTTCCTTCAAAGAATTGATTACTGATGAAAATTTCTCTTGCCTTTTTATCTTATTTCAAAATAACCACTATATTTCAATAGTTTGGTTTTTAAACATTTTAGATTTTCCATTTGCACTGAATATTTCATCTGACCCTCAGCAAGATCAATCCTTGTAAACAAACCATTGCTGTCTTATAGACATAGTAATTGCACCCAATATCTGGATTAAACCAGAAGCAATCAAGGATGTTGTTGAATTAGTTCTGGGGAAAATGTTATGTAGGGGAGAATTATTATTGAGGCATTATCTTTTGTTGGTAGTGCAGTACTTGGAATTATCAACTTTCATCATTTCATGGCTTCTGGCAGTTCTGCCAATGTTCCCCTCCCAGTTGCTGCAACTTTGGCTGTCCATCTTTCAGGGTACAGAAATATGCACACAAATTTCTGGTAAGGTCTTCACATTTTGTCATTCCATCCTTGTCTGCTGTGAATACTCATCTTGCACTATTGTGGGAAATGAAGATGCATTTGATCAATATTTGAAGAGGATCAGCGAAACACTACAAGAGGGCGACATTCACTATAATGTATAAATAGGACTTACTGAGAGGGAGGGTGAGTTACTCTAAGAAAAAGATAAGATAGAAAGCAACAAACTCAGAGCAGTAACAGTCTCGCTAGTTCAGCCTCAACAGTGCATTACAGACACACAGTACCAAGAGAAACATGAATACCATCCAGTACTTAGTCTAGCACAGTCTATTGATACAGTTGTAGCAGCATAGAGTATGATAGCATCAGCATTTTTCCAAGGCATTGTTCTGTCAAAGCGTTTCTGTCCAGCAATGGACACTTGAGATTGAAGTATCCTCACTCTATTCACTTACAACTTTAGTTCTACCATCCAGGTAGCTCAGGTGCCATTTCCAGCCATCAAAAAATGTTAAAAAACCACACTGAACCTTCCCATGATAAAGAGAGACCCACTGTATCATTTCAGACTATTGAAGCATGTCAGGTAAGTTTTTTGCATGATATACTGCTGTACAATTGCAGTTGAGTAGGTATATAAATTACCTTCCTTCAGCCCATTCAGTAAATTCTGAAGACTTTGAATTAAGAGCCGTAGCTTTATTGAAATATTAATCTGTTTAATCTAATTAGCATTGTCACAGCTTCTAGAGTAAATCTTCACTCCCATATTCAGCAGTTGTTGAAAAATTTTCTGTTCATTACTTGCAGTCCTGGAAATATGGTATCACGAGAAGTAGAGATATGCACTTCCATGGAAACTTATTTTTCTGATTCTGTTACAGCAGTGTAATCAAAGTAGTGCAACTTAATGTGCAGCTTAGTTATTGTTCTGAATACTTTGACAAGCAGCATTAAGTACTTTAAGTGAAGTTTACTGGTATAAATGATATGACATTCATTTGCACCTACTTCAAATGCATTCTGGAAATACATAGATGGCGCATTTAAGTGCAAGATATTCCATTGGAGATAAATGTTATGTTTTATGCAATGTGATAAGAAGCCATGTTGCATGATTACAAATTGAACATGCAGTTTCATTTCATAACATATTCAAAAATCTGCAGATTGGGCAGACTGCCATGCTAAATTTCCCCATAGTGTCCAGGCTGTGCCGCCAAGGTGGGTTAACCATGGTGAATGTGGGGTTACGGGGATGGAGTTGGGGCATGGGTCTGGGTGGGATGCTGCAGGGTCGTTGCAGGCTTGATGGGCCCAATGGCCTCTTTCTGCACTGTAGGGTCTCTACAATTCTATGCACACTTGCCACTTCAAAGGCCTTCTCCTTCATAGTCATCAGTGTGCAAACATCATTGGCTTTGGCCCTCTCCTTACTTAGTGTTGTGGGCCTGTTTATCCTGCAGACAGAAGAGGAACACAGTGGTTCTCTGCACAAAGATAGGCTGAGCATATAGGTTGCTGCCATTCCTCTGGCCTAAAATGAGGACTTCTGGATGCATCCTCCATATGTTACCTCCCATGAGACATAGAGGGCTCTGCCAACAATGGCCAGTGCTTATTTGTCCTGCATTGGGCTCATAACCTTGTATGCTTTAGTGTTTCAAATGTTCATCTCAACAGTTCTTAAATGTCTTGAGGGTTCCAGCCTCCACCAACTTTTTACGCAGAGAATTCCAGGTACCCCAAGTCTCTGGGTGAAAAAGAATTTCCTCAAATGCCCTCTTAGCCTGTTACTTCTTACCTTAAAATTGTGCCCCTGTCTATTAACCCTGCTACTAAGCAGAAAGGTTTCTCCCTGCCAACTCTGTCTATGCCCTCAGAATCTTGTGCACCTCAATCAAATTCCCCTTACAGCCTTCTATGCTGTAAG